CCGTTATTAATGAATTTTTTTTTCGGCGGCCTTGGACTCGGTAGTATTTTATTACGTCTAAAGCACATAATACGATAATAATAATATTATTATTAATAATGGTAAATAAATAAAATGTCGTCGAGTTATTTATTTTGTAAATTACAATTAGTTTTTTTTTTTTTTTTAATTTATTAATTACGTATTTTATTTATTTATTATTATTATTATTATTACAAAAAAAATGTCGTCGTACGCTTTTATAATTAATAATATGAAAATGACGTAACGCGTTTGGCTTATTAAATAAAATGTGACGTCATTCATTTATTAAAATCGAATGATTTTCAATCGTTTTTAAAAAGTTGGAATTTTTTTTGAAAAAATGTTTATATCTTTCTCTCTCTCTCTGTCTTTCTCTCTCTCGTGACATTTTAGGTTTTTAGAATTTTATCTTAAATGTTTTCCCTTTTCGAAAATCTTTTTTTTTTTTTAAAAAAAAAAAAAGATCCGTCCATTATTAAAAAAAAAAAAAAAAAGAAAAGTTCTCGGCATTGTTGATATTGATTTCGGGGGGAGGGAGGAGAAGGAGAAGGGGAGAGGGGAGGGGACGAAAGAAGAAAAAGGGTAAATTTGTTTAAAAGTCGTAAAAAGTTTATATTTAAAAAAAAAAAGAAAAATTATTTATTTTCAAACGTACGAAATGATAAATAACAAAAAAAAGTTTAAAACAACAACAATAACATGAGGAGAAGGACGACGGCAAACAGGCAGCAAACGATAGATGACGACGTCACAGACGGGAAAATTTTATGCAATAAAGTAAACGGAATAAGGAGGAATAGGGAAGGAGGGGTGAGTGAAACGAAAAGAAGAGCGTAAATCCTTAGAGTAAAATAACCGGAAATAAATGTCTAGAGAGAGAGAGAGAGAGAGAGAGAGAAAGAGATAGAGAAAAAAAAAATGATTTTCGTGGATTATCTAGAATTGTCCCATTTCCGTTTGTACCTACACAATAAAACTTTTTTAAATGCATCCCTGAAAACTTTATTAAATATCGTATAAAAAATGGGATTAACCATTGAGCTCGCGTAACCGAGCCAAGTAACAAAATCGAAAACTCCGCTCGGTATGTTTTCCTCGCATTCTTCGCATATGGTCGGAACCAAATTGAGTACGAAAAAGGGAGCCCAAAGTATGACGAAAGTGAAAAATACGACGCCTAAAACTTTGGTTGCTTTTTGTTCGAGCCTTATTATGCGTCCGTGCCTGGAACTCGTTCGAGAAATAACGCTCGAATTCCTACTGTGATGACTTTTCACAGTTGGTACCTTAACGAGTGTGTCGTACTGTAAAAGTATGTTGTGATCGTTGAGTTTACCGTTGGCACCACCGTTAAAACGACTCAAAGCCGTGCGAAATTTTGTTTTTTTACTATTTTTTATCAAATTCGTGCGAACCGTTTCACGTCTCGACCCGAATTTCCAACACTTTTTATATTTAACATTCGAATTCCATTTCACTAATAAATTATTTTCTTTTGATTTTGATAGTGACGTCATATGAGGTGGCGATATCCTATCAATGCCGACGATTTCATCTTCCACGTCTCTGAGATCTTTTCTTTTAATCAAATTGATTTTATTATTCATTTCGTTTTTGATTACCGTTGTCGTTCCCGTTCCTGTCGTTGCTGTTCCTGTTGTCATTCCTGTTGTAGAATTTACAAAATAATTTTTTAATTTAACAACATCCGGCGAACTATTAGTTTTTTTTAAATTTACGTCCGAACAACTTATTTTAACGTCGCACTCGGATTTATCGTTTATTTTGTAATCCGACGACGAAGGTCTCACGGGGTTTAATTTTTTCCCACGCACTAAATTTCGCCTATCGATGACATCTTTTTTTAATATTTCACCGACGATTCGCGGTTTGTATCTTTTCCGTTCTTCTTCTAAATAATCGATAAATTTCGCGGATTCCCCTTCCGTCGAACATGATTCGAAATTGTTCGACGATTTAGGCGAAATTTTTAATTGATTGTACGTTAATATGGGTTTGTTTTCGTGTGTTCTGTCCGAATCATCATCATCATCTTCTTCTCCTTCCACGTCTTTAATGTCGAATGCATCGAAAATTTTTTTTTTCCTTCCATCATCATCATCATCATCATCATATTGTCTTTTTCCTTTCGGATTTTTATTATTATTATCGGATTTAACATCGTTGACAACAACGTTATTGTCGTTATTGTTTTCTCTGAAATTATAAAAAAATCAATGACAAATTATATATTTTTAAAAAGAAAATCTGTAGTAATAATAATAATAATAATAATAATAATAATAATAGGGAAAAATTGAAAAAAAGGATTTTGGAAAAGAAAAATGGAAAATAAAAAAAAAAAAGTTTAAATTCGAGAGATTTAAATTTTTGACAAAACAAAAGAAGAGTAAAAATAAATTTTAGTCTTTTGATAAACAAAAAAAAACGTGACGTGGCACGAAACGTTACGCATTATATTACTACTGCCACTACTACTACTACTACCACTATTACTACAACTAGTACCACTACTACTACTACCACTATTACTACAACTAGTACCACTACTACTACAAAAACAATTGAAATATTTTTTCGTCGTTTAAAAACGTCGTCAAAAAAAAAAAAAAAACAAATAAGAAGCGGGAATTTGGGGAGGGTGGTGGGAAAGGGTGGGAGGGGGAGGGGGAAGTAACAAAGCAAAAGACGAAAAAAAGAGATTGAAATTTTACGCGGCGGTTTTACCCTTATCATTTTACACTTTGGTAAAAAAAAAAAAGTTATACGGTGGTGATAAAGAGGAAAAAAGATACCAACCGCTAAGAGATTAACTTTTGATAACAGCAAAAAAATTTTTTTTTTTTTTTTTTTCGCGTTGGAATGTTTCTGACGTGTTTCTTCTCATTATTATTATTATTATTATTATTATTATTATTATTACCGCCTTTGAAATTTGTTATTGTTATTATTATTATTATTATTATTTCCTTTGTTTTTTTGTTTTTGTTTTATTAATAAATTTTTTTTTAGTTTATGTGCGGTTTTCGTGTTTTTTTTTTTTTAATAAAACGTAATAAGAAACCGGAAGTAAAGTGTAGAGAGATTGGAGGAAGGGGGGGAGGAAGAAGAAGGAATGTTTTAATATTAAAGAGATGATGATAAATTAAATTAAAATTAAAAAAAAAAAAAGGAAAGGAGAAAAAGAAATAAAGGAAAAGGAAAAGGAAGGAAAGAAAAAAAAATTTGATCGGATGCGATTTGTATAACGATGTGTGTATGTGTGTGTAATATGTGAAAAAATTATTTATCGAAACGGATATAACAGAAATCTTGAAAACTGGAGTAAAAAAAAAAAAATCTGGAAAACTGGAGGGAGAAAAAAATCTGGAAATAAATTTGTTTTTCCCAGTAAAAAAAAAGAGGGGAGGGGGAAGATGATGATGAGGAAAAGAAAATTTTTTTTGAAAATGCAAGTAAAATAGAAAAAAAAAAGGATTTTATTATTTTAAATAAAAGTGTGTATGTATGTTTTTTTTTTTTCTAAGGTTGGTAATAGTTGTTGTTGTTGTTGTTAATAATAAATTAAAATGTTTGTTCCGAGTTTTTTTTTTTTTTTTATTAAAATACGAATTGAGTTGTTTGTTGTTCGTATGAAAAAAAATAATTTTTATTTAATGCTCGATTGAGTTTTTTATTTTATTTTATTTGTTCTGCTCTCAACGAGTTAGTTTTTTTTTTTCTTCTTCTTCTTCTTCTTCCTAATCTTTTTGTCTTTTTTTTTTTTTCATTTTTCTGTCTTTTTCTTTTATTTTTCCGGTTTGTGTCTGATTGTCTGTCTGTCTCTATCTCTTTCTTCTTTATGTTTGTAATTTTATCTCTTGCTCACTTTTCTCTCTCTCTCTCTCTTTTTCCTATTTCAATGTGTCTGATTCTCTTACACTTTCTTCCCGCATTTAAATTCTCTCTATTTTCTTTTTGTTTTTTTATCTGCCTCTCTCTCTCTCTCTCTTTCTCTTACTGTAAATTTGTTTATTTCTCTTTTTTTTTTTTCTTTCTTCTCTTGTTTTCTCTAATCGTTTCTATTTTTCTCTCTTTTTTCATCTCTCTATAAAACTCTTTTAATTTGTATTCTTCTTTTTTTCTTTCTCAACCTCTCTCTCTTTCTCATAGTCTCTTTTTTCTCCCTGTTTTTTTTTCTAACTTTATACCTCTTTTTTAATCTTTCTCTCTCTCTCTCTCTCTTTCTTTTTCCGTTCTTTCATTTCTATATTTTTTTATTTTATGTTTTTCTCTCTCTCTCACTCCTCTTGTTTTCTGTAATTATTTCTCCTTTTCTCTCTTTCTCAGTCTCTTTTTTCTGTCTGTCTTTTTCTTTTTCTTTAACTTTATATATCACTTTGTCTGTCTTTCTGTCCTTCTCTCTCTCTCTCTCCCTCTTATAAATCTATTTAAATTTTTCATTTTCTCTTTCCGTTTTCTTCCTCTTTCTTTCTCTCAATTTTTTTATATCTTTTCCTTATCCTTTTAACTTTTTTTTACTTCTTTTTGTGTCTCACCCTGTATTTTTCCATTTCTCTCTCTCCCTCTCTCTCTCCCCTCTCACATTATATAAATTATTATTCATTTGTTAAATTTAATACGACTGAATTATATACATATACATATGGATATAAGGATGATCTAAATTTAAAAAGAAATTTTTCTTTTTCAATTTCGTTTTTCTTTTTAAAAAAATTTTTCATTTTCATCATAAGGATTTTTTTTTTGTGTTGTAAAAAAAAAAAAACTTAATCTATCTTTTCACTATGCATTAATCGAAATGTAACCCTTTTTTAAAAAAAATTCGAGACATTTATTTCCGGTGAATTATTTAAAAAAAAAAAAAAATATCGATGTTGAATTAAAAAAAAAAAAAATTTTCTTTTTTTCAAATAAAGAGAAAATTTTTAGTGAAAAGTTTTTCTTTTTTTTTTTTTTTTTTTAAACGTCGTCACGTGAGATGAACAAAAAAAAAAGGTTTAAAAGGAAAATTTTTTCCGGAGGTTTAATTAACCGTTTATAATAAAAACGATTTTATATCACGAAAACGAATTTTTCTTTTTTTTTTGAGGGGGGGGGGGATGAAGAAAACGTAGTAAAAGATTTTCTTTCTTTCTTTACATTGTTTATTAATTTATTTTTCGTTAATATAACAAAACGAAACAGTTAATTTAAACAACGAAATAATAATAATAATAATTTGTTTTGAAATTGTATAAAAAGGTTACCACGGTCGATTTATCAAAATAATAATAATAATGGGAAGAAGGAAAGAAAGAATTTAAAAAATTAAATTTTAACTTTTGGGGAAAATTTTGTTAATTTGTAATTTTTTTTTTTTTTTGCTGTTGTTTGTGAAAATTCAACAAAGCGAATAATTTTCCTTTTTAACCCTACAAATCGTTCGATAAATTTAATGAATTGTTAACAAACAAACAAACAAACAAACAAAAACAAACGGAAAAAATTATTTGTAATTATTGCGATGAAGTTTCGTTTTTTTTTTTTTTTTTCGAAAAAATTTTTACCCGCGTGGAATAAGAGGATATAATCACGTGATTCGTCCATATAATTTGGGTACAAAAAAAATGAAAAAAAAAATTTTCCGACACAAAACAAATTCGTTATAATAATAATAATAATAAAAAAAAAGTTTTCGGAGTAATTATTGGTTATTAAAATTATGCTGACGTCGTTTTGTTTGTATTTCGTTTGTTTGTTGATTTGTTACCAACAAAAATTTATGTTTATGTAGGTCGAAAAGTTATTTTTAACGCAAATTAATTTAGCCATATTATTTACATATTATTAAATGTATTATTATTATTGAAACCGAACGTTGAGCTTTCAATGGGAATCATCAAACATTGACCTCTCGGTAATATGTTTTTTTTCCCCCTCTTTCTTCTCCCCCCTCTTTCTCACTTTCTCCTTCTCTCTCTCTCTCTCTCTATAAATCTATTTCTATTTGTTTTCCTCTTTTTTTCACTCTCATTTTCACTATCCCCTGTTTTTTTTCTCTTTCTCTGGCTCCGTGTTTCTCTTTTTATATTTCTGTTTCTCTCTCTCTCTTAATCTCTCTTTTGTTTTTCCTATTCTTCTCTCTCTCTCTCTCTTTCTCTATAAATCTATCTCGATTTGTTTTTTTTTTGTCTTTTCTCTCTCTGTCTTTTCAAATCTACCCTTTTCTCTTTTTCTATACCTTATTTTCTGTTTCTTTTTTTCTTTCCCTCTTCCTTTGGTTTCTCTCTCTCTTTTTTTTCTTTCTTACTTTTCTCTCTTTTTCTTTTGCTCTGTACTTCTCTCATTCTCTCTCTTTCTTTATAATATTATCTCCATTTGTCTTTCTCTTCTTGTTTATTCTCTATTTTTTGTCTCTCTTCTTTCCTCACTATCTCTTTCTCTTTCTTTCTCTCTATTTTCTCACTTTCTTTTTTTTCTTTTTTTTTCTGTGTTGAAAAACGATCGCGTCGAGAGTTTACCTTTTTTTATTTGTTGATTATCGATTATTACGACTCGAGTCAATGTCATTTAATACGTCACGAAATAATTAAAATAATAATAATAATAATAATAATAATAGAAATAATAATTAAAAATAAATTAAATTAATTGAAAATAATTATTACTGTGATGTAATGAGTGAGGGAGAGAGAGAGGAAGAAAGGGATGGAGGTTATAGGGGGAGAAGGGGAAGGAAAGGGGAAGAAAGAAAGGGAAAAAAAGGGGAAAAAATCTTTTTTTATTATTATTTATTTACCAAATGAATTATCCAATTGTTTATTATATATATATATATATATATATATAACTAATTTAAAAACTTGGTCGTTATCTTGTATTATCTACTCAACCGTCACATTTTATTTTCTCCATGAACGATTTCATTCATTTATTTGTTTTTTTTTTTTTAAAACCGTTTTCAATCGTTTTCGTCGAGGTTTTTCGACATTCAAACCTTATGTAATAATAATAATAATCAAAAACTTCGTCATGAAATTCGTTCGTTTGGTCGAACGATTTTTTAAACATTTCCTTTTATAAAAAAGTTTACAATAAAAAAAAAAAAAGGAAAAATATTCTCTTTTATTATTATTATTATTATTTTATTGATTTTTTTTACCACCAAAAAAAAAACCAGGTGTTATGTGTGGGAAAAGAAATAAAAAAAATTTGAAAATGTAATTTGTCAAAATACATAAAAATTTCACATTTTCGGAAAATTTAAAAAAAGTTCGGGGAAAAAAAATAAAAAAAAGTTTTACGGGAAGGTTCAAATGTGACGAAAAATTTGTTTTTCATTTTGATTTTTTTGCATTAAAATGGACGAAATTATTTTTTATTCATGATATTTAATAAATACTTTGTGAAAAAAAAACTCTCGTCCTTCCCCTCACCTCCTGCCCCCACCCCCCACCTTAATTAAATTAATTA